AAACACTGTTATAAATATTGACATGCTTGCCAACTTATGAAGTTGCAAAACCAGTTTACTTCTAGTTGTAAATCCATCAGTGTATTTACATTGAACTATATTCCATCAATGATACTGAAGGGAAAAAATGCACAGTTCAGCAGTACAGGCAGAAAATGCATTGTATGGCTACTCTGGGGAAAAAAGAGTAAAAAAAATGTGGGTCTCTGTTTGAATGAATGATCTTTCTCTCCTCTTCAAGGTTTTTCAGGAACTGGCAGAGTTGGGTCTCACAGGCAAGATTCAAAGCAGACACTGCGAGGTGAGCCAAGCACTCCATAATGCTCATACCAAACAAGATTGAATATTAGTAACACATACCATGTTTTGCATATTTGAAGTGGAAATGCAACTGTAACATATGAATTACCTCAACTGTTATTATTGTTGTTGTTAATGTTGTTGTTGTTGTAATAATTATGTTTGCTTGTTTATTCATTTGTTTAAAAAATTCCCAGGACGAGGAACGGTCCCTATGAAGCGACACAATGAAGAGCCAGCATCAAGCAGTGGATGCAAGATTCAGAGACAGAACAGCAACTAGCCACACTTACAAGGATGTTTCTTTGCCAGGACAGATATGTCTCTCCTCAGGCCAGCGATGGGACATGTTCCAAATGATAGGTGTTCCCTAAAACTACCTTTAGATGTTAGTTACCTGCTCACATCTTTTCCACTTTGAGGTCTCTCCTCTATGCTAGGCCATAGTGCAGTTCCCCATGTAGTGCTTATGTAGGTTAATGCTTTGAACCCTGTTCATAAGCTGTGCGGTGGGGCATACTATATGTATTTACAGCTCTGTAAGTATGTACAGCATTTAATTTGTGTTTGTTTAAATGTTTGTGTACTGTTCACCCACTCATGTCAGCATTCATGCTCTCCAGACTGCATGCATATTTGTCTCCTTTTGATACGCAAATCAGTGTGTCTTGCATACATGGTCTTCTTTCATGTTGCTGTATCCGCCCCCCATTTTTGAGATTCTGTTTTGCAGCGAGCGCAGTATATATAGCACAATGAGAAATGACTCAAAATTTTAACTGGAAAAAGCAAACAGTGCCAAGTCAGCTGCGTAACATTCATATCACATTTCGTTACAATGCCATAATGTAGAAATGGCAAAATGAATTGCAGGCAATTTGATGTGCTCACATTGAATTTTTCAAACTGAATGCTGAAATTTTGACCAGCGTTTTATGCACTGATTACGATCAGATCTGGTCAAGTGACTAAAGTGACCCCACTCCTTATTTTTGTATAAAGCAGAGATGGTTATTATATCAAAGAAGTGCATGGCTTGAAAGTCCATTTTAGTCTGATTTTGTACAACTACAGGGACAATACAGCCTGCTATGTATATATGCGTGTACTGTAAGTACTTCAGTCAGCATACCTCTGTATATATAACTTTTTTCTTGCTTAGTTACAGACTTACTGTTATTTTTTTATATGAAAAGCGATACCAGTTTGTTTTTGAATTATTGGTATGTGCTCTTTATAAATCTCCATTAAATCATAAACATTAGACATGTTGATTAGCGACTGTGGTGCTCTTTATTTAACACTTTGCTCTAAATGTTCAAACCAACCATACTTTCTTAAAACCCACTCATGCAGTTTTCACCAAGATTCTGATATTTACCAATGTTTTTTCATATGGGATTTGTTCTGGGTAAGAACAGAATCTACACACACTCAAGAGCACAAAGGTGCGAACTTATGTGGCTTAAGTTCTTACATCATGAATCTGATGTAGACTTTTTCTTAGGACCTTTCTCAAGAACAAATTCAAGAAAAAACTTAGGAAGATATTGGTAAAGGAGTCTGTTTGCTTTACATGTTTTAAATAATAGATACTAGGAGTTGACCATAAATTCATAAACTGGTGTTACCTTTGAACAAACTAGAATGGCTTAAGTGATTAGATACAGCTTTCTCCTGCCATTGGTTATTAATCAGAAACTACCCTCTAAGAACCTTTGTGATTCAAGATAACTGTCATGAGCAGTCTTTACTTACAGAGTGTTCACTAGAGAGCAAATCTTTTGTGAAAGTTGTGCTTGAGACATCACAAATGTGATGTTTATACTCTGTGCAAAAGTATCCCAGCATCAAATTGTCCAACATTTCTTCTGAAATCAAGTTATTAATATCGAATTTGTCGCCCCTTTGATAACAGTCTCTCCTCCTTTGGGAAAGCTTTACATTAGATACAGGAACGTTGCTGTAGCTGATTCTGTTGAGCTTTGGTGAGGTCAGGCACTGATAATAGGTGATTAAGTCATGGTGCTCAAATTCATTTCAAAGGTGTTATTCAGAGGTGTGTCTTTATTCCAGGCAACTGCTTTCACAGAGCAGAATCACTGAGCCAGATAAAACAGACCAAGAGTCACTGTCCAATAAGAGCAGAGTTCAAGGACATTCTGATTGGACATCCCTGAACTTTTGGTATAAGTCATACACAGAGTTTGGCAGAATAATTTGAAAAAGTAGTGATGCCTGAATACTGAATATACTGTCCTAAATGTTTTCATTAATGTGTTTCATTACAATACATAAAAGTAACATATTCAGAATATATTTAGAATACATTTACAGCACATATTGATAAGGTACATGTAAAAAACTGCTTTAATTTTTATTTAATTCATGCTGTTCCTCACTGTTACTGGTTGGCAGTTTTGTTTGTGTAATTCTTCTAAGAATATGTTTTATGAAAAATTCAAATTAACTATGAATACATAATTTCCAATGTATATTTTGTCATTTTGTCCACCACTGCTCCCATAATCCCACTGCCTTAGTCAACAAATCACCATATCACAATAATGAAATCTTGCAAAATTGACTATAAAATGAGTAGCTATGTGATTTTCCATCAATGATAGGTATGTAACTTGCCACGGAACACAAGAACGAATGATAGTTATGTAACTTGAAAGTCCAGTACAATGTCCACTACTCAGTTCAGTTACCCCTAAGAAGAGTTTCTAATGCTCAGATTAATAACTGGCTCATCACTGTCATTTATCAGTCTATTCAGGCTTTAGAAGGAACTTTGGTGCTTGTACAGAAGCCAATTTTGAGTTCTTCTTGAGAGTCAGTCTTTGCATGCTGATGTTTTGTGCTGATTTCAAAATACACTCTCAGAAAAAAGGTACTAAACTGTCACTGGGGTGGTACCATCAAGGGTACGTCTCAATAACTTTAGTCAGGGAACATAATTGTACTATAATTCATTAAAATTATATTTTCTAAGTTGTATTGACTCCACACACCCTGTCTCGTCTTCTTATTTTATTGTTCTGTTTTAAAACTTTAGGTTATGAAAAGGCACAAATATGTACTTTTCACCTGAAAAAACTTATTTAAGGTACACAGTTAAAGCTTAAAACCACTGTTGTACCTTTGAGGAAACATTTACATTGTTTGTACCCTGACAAATGAAAAATCTACCTGCACAGAACCTTTATTTCTAACAGTGTAGTTACTTAATAAACAGTGATGTTTTTTTGAAAGATGGTACATATACCTATATTTATATATGTATATATAGATATTGATATAGATATATAGATATATATTTTTTTTTATTTAGTGAGAAGATATTCTAAAAGTATTCTCCTAAAAAATTAAAAAGTGACTGTATTCTGAATAGTGCCTTCACAACATGTAACTTGGACTAAATACAGATACTTTCTTTCTGTATTCTGGATATGTTTTTCCAGTACTTGTATTCTGTTACATCCCAACCTTGATTATACAGTTCGATATATCCTGCTTTCTGAAATACCCCCTGTTGATGACCAGCTGTGGGGCTGTCTGTTTGCTACTTTTGCTCTACTTGTTTTAAAGGGTCCATATTATGAAAAACTACATTTAAATATATTTTTTAAAATAATAGTGTAATGCAGTATACAAACATTAAGTTTCAAAATGTACCACTGACTCCACAGTCCAGTCAGTCCATACATGGAAACTAACCAGCAGAAACACCCCATTTTAAATTCACTGCTTTTATAATGTCATAAACTATGCATTTGTATATATCTGCCTATTAACTTTGAAGCTGCAAGAGTCTTTTTGAGTACAATTCGAACAGACGGTCAGTAACATATATCAGTCTTAAAGACGCAGCCTGTTTAATTCTAAGGGATAAACGAGAGGTTGGTCATGTAAAATGAAATATGACTGGGCCCAACATCAGGAGATTGCGAATTCAATCCTCAGTGATGCCACAGCCATCTGTGGCTGGGAATCCAAGAGGGCAGAAGTGGTCTTGCTCACTCTAAGCCCAGTGCAGGTCTGTTAGCTGACATTACAGAATTGGTGTTTAGGATTCTCCTCCAAGTGTGTTGAGCTGTTCAATGATGTTGCATTAGCAGAAGTTCAAAAAGATATGGCTGCTGGCTTAATATGTCTAGAGATGCACCATGCTCTAGTCTTCACCCTCCCAGCTTCGTGTAACAATCCTGCTGAAAAAGTACCATTGGAAACCATTAGGATTCAAACGTAATGGTTTTGCTTTCTAATGGGAATTGGCTTAATGGTTTCCAACAGAGACCACTAGTTTCCTGTTGTACATCTTTAGATCCCATTAGGAAACCATCAAATGCATTTAGAACCAGCCATTGGTCACCTGTGAAACCAGTAGGATCCTTTACACTGTGAAATCAACCCATTATAAAGCCAAAACACACTACAAAACCACCAGGAACCAACAGAAGCACTTAAGGGTTTTTCAGCAGGGATGGTGTGATGGGTGGAGACTGGGTAAAAAATGGAGAAAAAAAGAATTACCACTGCTTTTGATACATGAACCAACACAAAGGCTGGATCTCAGAGAAAAAAAAATCCACGAAAAAAGTGAGATATGGATCCTTTAATCCTAAATCAAAGCAGCAGATCAATAGGTTCAACGTCCACGCGCCTCCACCTACCAGCCGCCGTATGTGAGGGAACTCCCCCCTCAGCAGCCCCTCAGAGGAGCTCGTGTGAGGAGCATGGAGGAGCGCAGCTTTGAGAGCAGCGAGATCATGAGCAGCCTGGTAGATGGAGCTCAGCAGAAGCCGATCCGCCTGATCGCGGCTGCGTGTAGTAACCTGGGCATAGGCAAGAACGGACGGCTTCCGTGGAACATTCCGTAAGAGAATACAGACCGATTTTATCAGCTCGTCTCTTTTACCCCAAAATACCCCACGCTGTGCCCGGGCTGACGTGGCTGTGCGGTACATCGTTGTTTACGTGACCTCCGCTGGTGGTCTGTGCCAAGCTCAGCATCCTACTGAGTTTGTTTAAGCCTTATTAATAAATGCACAGCATTTCGCAATAGCTGTGATTTCGTAAGATTTCGCTCCTCTAGGAAAGATAATTGCGCTGCTTTATGTAGTGCTATGCACTTGAATTCCACTGGACGAAACACCAGGCAGCTACTTTGTATGGAATTGTGTAATGCATGTGAAAAGGTGAAAAAATAGTATCACAGTTAAGTCCTTTCACAATCAACAGGTCAGAGTTTCAGTTCTTCTTGGACACCATCACAGCCGTGAGCCAACCAGGTAAGTAGTCCATCCTATCATCTGTCTGATTTCAGCTGGGTTTAGTTACACTGCAGATGTAGAATTAATGCTGAACATTAATGCTGAAAAGACTTTCTCTGAATCTCCACAGTGGCTTTAATCACCCTTCCTCATGCACATTACACAGCATTACAACAGCTAGACTCAGGGAGGTGGCCTCTGCCATAGACTGCTGTCACCTTTGAACAATCCTTTACACTGTTACAGCTTTAGTGATTAGATATCGTTTTTTGCTGCCATCGGATACAACCAGATGTGGGTAGTAACTAATGACGTTCACTCAGTTACATTACTGGAAAAAAGATGGTTCTTCACAGGTTCTTTAGTTCTTTGCATGGTGAAGTGGTTCTTCAGATTGATGGAGATTGTGGTGTATATGGTTCTATACAGAACCTTTTTGAACATGGTTCTATATAACACCAATAAGTATTCTTCTATTTTTTTTTCAAGTTTATCACTGTAACAATAGCAAAACACTTCTGGTTGTTGTATAGAATGATATATAACACATTCTCCATCAATCAGAGAAGCCACTTCACCATGCAAAGAACCATTTAAACATGAAAAATGTTTAATAAATGTACTAATATAGATTACTTGGAAAAATTATTATTATTATTAATTAAAATCATATTATTATATTATTATCATTAAAATTATATTATTAACTTCCATTACAAGATCAAAACACTTTTTCTCCTGTAAAGCTACTATTTTGGAGATGCAAGGTTTTGTTCTGACAGAGACAATTTATTATTTACATTTCAAAACTCTTAAATATGTAGTGTGATGTGAATATTTAGGTTAATGTTAGATGTTAGTGGAGTGGCAGCCTTGAGAGAGCATCAACAAAAGCAAGTAAAAGAGCAAATCACACTGTCATTTCTTCACTAATTTAAATTAAAATTAATTTCAATGTTGGGGTGTCTGTTTATTTATGTAATTATTTTGTGCTCTGGGGCCCTAAGATCCTCTGTACTGATTACACCCCTGTACTTTAGTGATTATTTCACAGTTTTCGCAGGTTTAGGCTGCTCTACCAACCTCTAACTCAAGTCTTTTTAAAAGTTTCTGATCATAGCAAACATTTTGTGTGCAGACATTTACAAGGTCTAATTGTTCACTTAAGTGCAGTTGTTTTCGAAAGTTCATCACACAAATGAACACAGTCCCAGAAATGTGTATTACTATTGTAAGTTGTACTTTTTTTTTACAGCTTTAATAAATGAATACATGCATCAAATATAAATGCATGTGCTATTTTGCTTGCCTCAGGGAGGAAGAACCTGCTGGTCTGGGGCAGATGTACCTGGTTCTCTTGCCCAGAGGGTGTTTTGCCCCTGCCCAATACCCTCCATGTGATTCTGAGCAAAAAGCTGAGGTAAGCAAATCCAGTAGATCAGGGTAGTAAAAGAAGAACAATGTGTGGCTGTAGATGCAGATAAACAATGATGGCATCGGTCTGATTTGCGATAGTAAGCTTAATTAGTTATGTAGTCAGCACATTCCTTAACACAAGAAACATTACTGTTCAAACGTTAGGAATCAGGTTTTCAGTCATTTAAAACCAATAAAAACTGCAGATAAATATATAAAGTGATTCTAATATGCTTTTTTGTGCGATTTCAAATAATAAGTAGGAAGCTAGTAAAATTATAATTAAATCAGGAATTATAGATGAGTCCAGAATGCTCAGTGGAGCTGTTTATGATTCTGAAATGACTGAGAAAGCTGTAAAGAATCAGGGATAAAGTTATATAAAAAAAAAGAATGCAGGTAAGTGCTTGATAAATTCAAACTACATATTTTCTGTACTGTATTCTGATCAGGTCTGTCCCAAAACTCACCCACTACCTGTGTGAGGATTTTGATGGGATGATCCGCTTGGCCTCCCTGCCCCCCCTCAATGACCTGGTAGAGACCATCTGGGTCTTAGGGGGAACCGAAGTCTACAGGGTAAGATTTTAAAGTCATCTTTCAATTTTTACTTTTTATTTAGGTAAATGAGCTATTAATTTGTACCCATAAATTCCTGAAAGACAAGAGCCCTTTTCTTGAGGAGCTTTGGGACAAAATGCCATGTTGAGTCTTGTCTCAGTAGTCAGCAGAACAAAAACCTTCTGAAAATGAGCTCGAGCTAGTACATTTCCATTTGTTTTTCTGAAAGGGCACAAGTGCTGCTAAACATTTGTTTGCCATCTGCACACTGGTATACAATGACCTCATGATAGACGCAGCATTTCCACACTGGAAATAAAACACATGGTTCATCAAAGCACTTCATTTTCTAACAGGAAGCTATGGAGCATCCATGGTGTGATCTTATCTACCTCACCAACATTATGGCAGACTTTGACTGTGATGTTTTCTTCCCGAATTTTGACAAGAATATTTACAGGAAACAAAGCAGGTAAGATTTCTCTCTTAATTCTCAACTTGAATAAACAAAATTCCGAGTTTGATGTGAAATCCGCCATTCTAGAGAATTGTCCTCAGTGGTGGTGATAGGAAGCAGACGTCTGAAGCTTTTAATGCCTCTAAAAGCTCCCTCACAGGAAGCTGGAATATGAAATGGCTACAAATAGAAATGGCATTGCTCTGATACTTAGAATCGGTATCAGGAAAATATTAGCAGTTTGCTATGCCTTCAACATGTGGTGGTAGAATGAGAAGAGACTGTATAGGAGGAGGGAGAACTCTGAGAACCTGGGATGGAGTTCTGGATGGCTTCTACTTTAAGACAGGAGGCCGAACCCCTCTTGATAAGGAGGTAAAACTTAGAGGTAGGACTGAGGAACTGGGAGAAGATAGGGTGGTGGTGGGGTGCAGGGTAGAGATAGAAATTTACAGGACGTTAGATTGGAAAGAGGAGGAGTTTCAGGCATGGTCCTTCTCCCCTACTCTAGTCATTTCATAAAATGCTAAATCGCATATCCCATAACAAATCTAGCCTTTTCAACTGATAAAAAAATCTGCTCATGTTGCCGTGTTGTTGGTTGTGTATTTCCTCCTGTAAGGTTTTAAGTGTTCGAGTAGTGGCCTACTTTTAGGTGCTTCATATATTGCTTGTACTGTGTAAACTGTATATATTGTATATTGCATATTGTCTGTAAATTATATGTACATTGTGTGTGTCTTGCATATAAGACTAGAGAGATGCCAATGGCTGTGTGTCTGTTTCTAATTCTGATTCATTAAATATATATATATATATACACTATATTGCCAAAAGTATTCACTCACCCATTCAAATCATTGAATTCAGGTGTTCCAATCACTTCCATGGCCACAGGTGTATAAAACCAAGCACCTAGGCATGCAGACTGGTTCTACAAGCTCAGGACTACAAAACTGCTTCTCAGGAGCTCAGTGAATTCCAGCGTGGTACCGTGATAGGATGCCACCTGTGCAACAAGTCCAGGCATGAAATTTCCTCGCTACAAAATATTCCACAGTCAACTGTCAGTGGTATTATAATAAAGTGGAAGCAATTGGGAATGACAGCAACTCAGCCACGTAAAATGAAAGAGCGGGGTCAGCGGATGCTGAGGCACATAGTGTGCGGAGGTCGCCAACTTTCTGCAGAGTCAACCGCTACAGACCTCCAAACTTCATGTGGCCTTCAGATTAGCTCAAGAACAGCGTAGAGAGCTTCATGAAATGGGTTTCCATGGCCGAGCAGCTGCATCCAAGCCTTACATCACCAAGCGCAATGCAATGCGTCGAATGCAGTGGTGCAAAGCACTGCCACTGGACTCTAGAGCAGTGGAGACGTGTTCTCTGGAGTGACGAATCACGCTTCTCCATCTGGCAATCTGATGGACGAGTCTGGGTTTGGCGGTTGCCAGGAGAACGGTACTTGTCTGACTGCATTGTGCCAAGTGTAAAGTTTGGTGGAGGGGGGATTATGGTGTGGGGTTGTTTTTCAGGAGTTGGGCTCAGCCCCTTAGTTCCAGTGAAAGGAACTCTTAATGCTTCAGCAGACCAAGAGATTTTGGACAATTTCATGCTCCCAACTTTGTGGCAACAGTTTGGGGAAGGCGCTTGCCTGTTCCAACATGACTGCGCACCAGTGCACAAAGCAAGGTCCATAAAGACATGGATGAGCGAGTCCTGACCTCAACCCGATAGAACACCTTTGGGATAAATTAGAGCGGAGACTGTGAGCCAGGCCTTCTCATCCAACATCAGTGTCTGACCTCACAAATGCGCTTCTGGAAGAATGGTCAAAAATTCCCATAAACTCACTCCTAAACGTTGTGGAAAGCCTTCCCAGAAGAGTTGAAGCTGTTATAGCTGCAAAGGGTGGGCCGACATCATATTAAACCCTATGGATTAAGAATGGGATGTCACTCATGTGCATTATAGTGTAGTTGCATTTTCAGCTTTAGTATCAAAAACGAATAAGTGGTATTGTGTCATCTCTAGTTGCAAATACCCTTTCAAGCCTGAGACACTGTTTTATGATAGTTTTGAGAGATGGGTTTTTGTTTGTTTGTTTGTTTTTTTTTAAATCAATTCATGGTGGAGAGGGACATACAGGGCGCTAAGAGTAAAACAGTACCTGAAGAAAACATATTTTTCCAGATTTATCACTATTTTACATTTAACAACATTAAATATAAAATTCAGAAGACCTGTGTAGGTTCCTGGTCATTTTTAGATAGTAAATAAAATGGCTACACTGTAAAAAATGGCTCGTCAGATCAAAAAAATTACTTCACGCGGTAAATAAATTAACTAGTTTTATTCAACCTAAATGCTTTGAAAAATGATTCTTTATTAGTATTCTTTATAAGTAATTTTTTGAATTGAATAAAGCTAGTTCAACTGCTTGTTACCACATGAAGCAATTTTTTTTAGGTTGATCTGACAAGCCATTTTTTACAGTGTTTATTTACACCACCACTGTAAGAGAAAATCGAGAGTCAATACGTTTCTCTACAATTCGCCATTTCACATCACACCACTTGGAATGACTTAGTTTACATCTCAGCAATTGAGCCTCTCCAATGAAAAAACACATATTAACCATCCCATCTTTTTTCCACCTTCAGTAAAAAAAAATCAGTTATTTAGTTTTCTATTTTACTTTGAACAACATTTTTCACTGTAAAAATTACTTCATGTGGTAACCAATAAATTAACTACTTCATTCAGCCTAAATAAATACCTTGAATGAACGATTCTTTTAATCAGTGTAATTTTTAAGTTGAATAAAACTAGTTCAATTGCTTTTTACCACATGAAGTAATTTTTTAGGTAGATCTGATATATATATATTTTTTTTTATATATATAAAAATATATTTATATATTTTTTATATATATATATATATATATATATATATATATATATATAAAACCTATATATATATATAACCTATATATATATATATATATATACACACACATACACATACTCATTGCAGGGGTTCAATTGAAGTTTGCAGAAATGTTGATGTTTTAGATGTTGAGTGGCTTTTTATTTGAGCTTCTCCACAACATGTCTTACAGTGTCATAATAATGGTGTTGCTATAAAAAGAACCAAAGACATATTCAAAATGGCTCAGCCCTTTCTGAACTCTTTATTTCCTATTTTACACAGGTTCCCTGGTGTCCCAGATGAGATTCAAGAGGAAAATGGCATTAAATTTCAATTTCAAGTCTTTAAGAAGGAGTGCTGACCAAGAAGCAACAATAAGCAGATAGGGGGGCTGTTTTTGGCTTTGGGCACACTAAGTTAATGACTCAGGGAAGTTTTGTATCTAGTGTTTTTTATATTTTTAGTAATTGTACCTAATTTTGCACTAAAAAATTCTGCTAGTCATACTTTCTGATTTCATACTGTCAAAAGCCCAGAAACCATGACAGGGAGAGGCCATTTCTAACCAGTCAGAATAGTTTCTAATAATTTGCGTATTTATTACATAAATAGTATATGTAGCACAAAAAGATTTCTTATAACAGCAACATTATGCTGTTCTGCAATTTGTATAAAGATTCTAATTTGACTGTACCAAGACAATGTTTGAAGACTTCTTATCTCATCTTGAGTTTCAGAAGTAGATGTATTGCATAACAAATCACATTCCACATGACTGGACACAGCAGATGGGCAAACAGGAACGAGTGCCAGTGACGAGCGTGTCATCTCTCACAATGAAAGATACAACAGTTTGTGACCACTCACCAGACCCACTGTTACTCATCCCACCACGTCACCATGGTTACACAACAAAGATAAATCAGACCAGCAGAGGGACGAGAGACAGTGGGACTCCTGCCTTTCTTGGCCCCGAACACATGAATTGTATTAATAGACCATCTGCTGTGTGAAGGCAGTAGATCTATGCCATCCCTCTCTCCACCACCCTAAAGACATTAATGAATTTAAAATAAAAATGTTATTGTTTGGTTTCTGCACTGGCTACTAATCAATGACCTTCATAATGTGCATTGATTAGCTGTGATGGAATACATGTTTGACTGGATATCTACATGCTGACCATCAGGTAAAGCCAAAACCCTTTGCTTAATATAGAATGGGTTACTGTAATATGCTAATGCTACTTTTGTCTAGCATGGTAATGCGTTTGCCCTGATGAGGAAACAGAAAGCCCTAAAAGTGTCAACTAAAATTGGTGCATCCCTGTTTGAAATGAATCATGTGCTTTCCAAAGAACATTGATAAAAACTATATTCTATTTTTGAGTATTGTCTACTAAATACTACCCAGACTGAACAGGCAGGGTACTGAACAGTAAACAGATTTCGCCACTAGATGGAGCCAACAGCAAGGGTAACCTATACCTGTACTTCAGTCCTAGCGGTGTTTAATGTGGAGTGGGGAGGTTAGTCTAGGTTTATTCTCACCAGCTTGCTGCTGTTTGAATGCTACTGCTTTTGATAAAGAACTTGAATAGTGATATATATCATATTATCGCTGTCCCCATACATAATCTGAAAACTGCAGTTACCCATTGAATTATGTTAGAATTTCACGAGGAACGAACTAATTCAAATGTTCCGAAATTGCTCCAAGATTGTACCAAGATTAGAAAAAATCTTACATTAACTTCCGTTACAAAGTAAGAATGTTTTTTTTCCTTCTCCTGTAAAATCATCATTTTGTTCTGACAATGACAATATACTAACTTATAGTACAACAGACTAATTATTTCAGTACTCAGTGTTATATATTGCGAGGTGAAACAAGAATTCAAACAGTTCTATTTGCGTTATTTAATATACTCCTAGTATATGCACTCACAGAGCACTTTATTAGGAACACCTCCTTGTTTGTACACTGTCCATATTATCAGCTCCACTTAATGCATAGGTGCACTTTGTAGATCTACAATTACAGACTGTAGTCCATCTGTTTCTCTGCACTTTATTAGCCCCCTTTCACCCTGTTCTTTTCAATGCTCAGGACCCCTACAAGACCACCACAGAGCAGGTATTTTTGGGTCTTGGATCATTCTCAGCACTGCAGTGACACTGACGTGGTGGTGGCGTGTTAGTGTGTGTTGTGCTGGTATGAGTGGATCAGACACAGCAGTGCTGCTTGAGTTTTCTAACACTGTGTCCCCTCGCAGTCTACTTTATTAGACACTCCTACATAGTAGGTCCACCTTGTAGATGTGAAGTCAGAGACAATAGCTTATATATTGCAGCACAGTTTGTGTTGGTCAACTTCTAGCCCTTTATCAGTGGTCACAAGATGCTGTTGGCTGGATATTTTTGGTTGGTGGTCTATTCTCAGATCAGCACTGACACTGAGGTGAAATTATAGGGTAAAACTATTCAGACAATTTATAACAAGCATATTTATGTAAAGGTTCTACAGGGGTTCTAGATATTAATACTGCAAAATGGTGGTACTGGGGTTCATAATAAGACACTGTCACTGGCTGGGAAGATTTCACGCAACAAGTAGCAATCATGGTGAAGGTGATGGAGCTTCCTAAAATTCTCAGGCTCAACACTATTAAACAATATTTGAACAGAAAAAGCTGCACAGCCCAACAAAAGACCTTAAACATCCATGTCAGTACAACTGGTTCAGTAATTTGCAAGTGGAAAGTTCATCAAACCTTAACCTATCACACACAAGCATTTAGACAAATCAGAACTCTTTGGGAACAATGTACTCTGATCAGGCAAAACAAGAACAGAACTCTTCAGAAATAATTCAGCTTGTCAGGTCTGGAGAAAGAAGGGTTGCGCATAGGAGTCCAAGAACACCACACCCATTCTTGGCCAAAAATCTGTATCTGGGGACATTTCACCAAGACAACAACCCCAGAGATAGAGCCAAAAAAGTCAAGACTAGTTTCTAAAAAAGGAGGCGATGGTGCTGGCATGGCCTAGCCAATATCCTGGCTTGAATCCCTTTGAAAACTTATGGAGGATTTTGAAATTGCAAGTCCATCCAAGGGACCCTTGTAACCCTGAGGTTTTTAAGACAGTGTGCCAAGAGGAAAGGGCCAAAACAGAACCACAATACTACAAAAATCTGATTACATCTTACCATAAATGTCTCAAAGCTGTAATTGCCAACAGCAGCTTTGCAAGAAACTAATATTTGAATATTATTATTTTTTTGTTTTTTAAGCATATCTTTGTGAAATCGTGAAATTTCCCCATTGTGAGACTAATAAAGGATTATCTTTTGCTTATGAATACATACTTTTTTTGTTTAGAAGTATGAAGTCAAAAAACATTATGTGTGTACATTTGAACTGGATGTATATTAAATAACACGTATCTGAATACTTGTTTCCTCCTTTATGCACTCAGTACGTGCACCAAAGCTACCAAATAAATGGTATTTTTATCGAGAAAAAAATACAATATAAAGATGTTGAAAGATATCAAGACACTTTTAGTACTGTAACACAGAAGGAGATGTTCGCAGGTTTTCAGGAATTCTTTATCAATGATCTGATTTCATTTTTCAAAATACCATATTTTATTTCTGTCATTTCATGCTGCTGTTTATTTCTCCTTTCAGTTTGTTTTCCTACTGTGATGTTGAGCAGCCATTTCTGAAATAGGTGAACAACCTCTACAGCCACTGTGATTAGGAGCTCTCAGAGGAATAGCAGAAGAGAGGGAAGCCACAGAGGACTCATCTCAGAGATCACATCAGTTCAGCCTCATCTGCATGACCATGGAATATTTACCACCTTAATATCCCACCACACTGGGGTCAGAGCAGGAAATGAGAGGTTTTAATTGCATATGTCATCTATTTTCATATTTTCCTTGAGTTATGCCCCATAAAACCAATGTATAACACTCGCTAATAATACCCAGTGTCACGTTTTAAATGAAAAAGAACTATTTATACTCCCTCTTATTAACCTCCTATGCTTTTGGGTATAACTCACTGTGTCATTAGCAGGAAGGAGACGGCAGGCAGGGGCCAGCGATGCTCAGCCAGCACTGACCGAGAAAAGAGGACAAAGCACAGAACAATAGGCTAAGATAAGACTAGAGAGAAAATGCACAAAATTAGCTTTTTTGTTGGCAATTGGCAAGTATCCTTTTATGTGAAATATCAATTATTTTAAAATAAATGGCATAGATTAAAGAATATATGTGGAATCTTATCACTTATCAAGGTGCCAAACATTAAACGTTTTAATGTTGGTACTTAAAGCTACAAAAAAAAAAAAAACACAATTTCCTAATTTAGATTAAGAGATATAAAAATGTGTTATCATACGAAATCTCACTGTAACCTATTCATCTCCAACAACTAAATTTAGTATAAGGAAAATGCTATGGGTGTTATTCTTACTGGTCCACAGTGATTTCTGCACATTTAGGTATAGTTATAGCTCGAAATAACATCCCATCCAACAGTACCCACTTGATTTTTTTTCTTTTTTTATTAATGTAATTTTCATACTTTTATTCACAACCAAATTCCATGTAATTTGGTTGTGAAGTAATTTCATGAGATCAAATGACTGAATTTAATATGAAAACATTAAGTGATAATCTCACTTTTTAGCCATATGATTCGAATGATTTGAGAACCTTCTTCAGATTTGTGCTTAAGGAAACACAACATGAACAGGCATCAACATAAAACATTAAGTCCTGTAGCTGGATTAACAAGGCTAGGGTAGCTCTGCAGGGTTTGTATTTAATGATTAAAAAGAAGCACACTGCTTTAAAACACAGCCCAGAGGCCAGAAAAGTACTGCAAACTCTCAAATTAGATTTGGGCAGCACTGTGTTAAGCTGAGGAGGGCTATTTACTGATTTTAAATACTAATTTATTTAAAAGCACCGTTTCAGGAGGCATTCTCCTCAGACCTGCTCTGTTCTACATCACACAGCACAGTAAGACTTATGAAGCACTTTGAAAGCTGTATAAATCTATGAGCAGAACATCACTACAGGCACTGTGATGTAAAATCCATATAAAAAAAAATGGTACAATGCTCAGTAATAAGAATAACATCATGATAAAAAATTTACTGCAAAAATAAAATCAATGATCAATCTTTTGACACAGTTATTCATGTAACCTAAAGGACAACCCACAATTTAATAAGAAAACATTTCTTAAAGCATTTCAGCACCACATGCAAGAAAACAAATAGATCTGATTTATATTAAAACCTTGAGATGTACACACTCTGGCCACTTTATTAGGTACACCTACCTTGTAACTGCACTCATTGTCTATTTTAACAGGTCCATTTACCATCCCCCTTTACCACATTTATCAACGGTTAGGACACCCACAGGACCACCACTGAGTAGGTATTATTTGGGTTGTGGATCATTTTACAGCAACACTGGTGTGACTGATAGACTTGAAACAAAATAACCTCCACTAACACACCACTTCCATGTCAATGTCACTGCAGTGCTGAGAATGACACACCACCCAAATATTACCTGCTCAGTGGGGGTCTTGTGGGTGTCCTGACCATTGATGAACAGGGTGAAGGGGAGCTAATAAATTACACAGATAAATAGATGGACTACAATCTGTAAGTTTAGAATTACACAGTGCACCTATATGATAAGTGGAGCTGATAAAATGGACAATGAGTACAGACAAAGCAGTTTTACCTAATAATATAACCAGATAGTGTATTTTATTGTCTAAAAGAAGGTACCATTTCACAAGAGGAATTCTCACTCATCCTCACTCATCAGTCCTGAGAGGGGCTACAGGGTTAAAGAGTGGCCTCTCTCGCCTCAGACGCAGTTTTCCAAAGCTCATCTCAAAGTCCTTCTTGGTGCCATTGAGGACCTCCAGACTGCCTGTCCTGACATCATAACCATGAGAGCGCAGTTTCTGAATACGATACTGAACAATCTGTGTGGTAAGTTCCATGACTGTGGGTGTCTCCATGATCTGCTGCAGACTGATTCCAGCACTGAAGAGGCCTTCGAACCTGTCTGCCAAGATAGGCACAGAGTAATAGAGCAAAGCAGGACACTTAAGCACAATCTGCCGGAGCTCAGCATCTGCGCAGCCCAACATTTTCTGAGAGTAACTCAAAGTGAGGCCCATCGACTCTGGCTGGACCTCTGTGACAAAGCCTTTTAGTTTGGAGAGCAGCTGGAGGAGCTCAATGCTGGTGAAGCCCCAGCCTTGCAGGAACATCAGGTTATTCCGTAAGGCTTCCGGAGGCTTCATGAGCACGTATGGGTTCTGACTAAGCAGCTTCTGCAGCCAGACCTTCAAACTAGTCTCATTCCCTCCTAGCTCCAGGTATGTCTTCTGCAGTGTTTCAATCATTTCCTCATTCTGTTTTACAGGTCTACTGAAGCTTTGTGGAGCACTGGCCATCAGCTTAGCAATAATGCGCTTGTTAAGGCCCAGGCTTTGGAAGAACATGACATTGGCCCTCTGGCTGTCAAGATGGCAGGGTGAGGTGAAAAAAGAGGCAGGGAATTTTTCAATGATTCCTACCAAGTCCCTCTGGCTGGCACACACTGACATCCACAGCTCCTTCTGAGCCTTGAAATGCTCCGGCCTGCAGAGAATGGCCTCAGGGTGGAGTTCCAACACTCGAGCAATGACCAGCCCGCTGGCCCCCATGTCCCTTAGCAGGGCTGCCGCCTCCATCACATAAGCAGGGTTTTGGTGCAACACCCATGCCTTCAGCTTCCGGATCTTAGTTAAGTCAACTGAAAGGTTGTAAAGTGCATCCACAGTGAGTTTGTTCTCAGCCGGGTTGGAGGAGCAGTATCTGCTGGTGAGGCAGATAAGTGGTTGGGCCCACTGGCATAGGGACACTGTCAGTGAGCGCAACATGGTTGGACATGTCACAGGTCAGTGGTATATACCTGTAGGAGAGATAAATATTCTTTAAGCACTCTAAAAGCCCTCAAATACTCCTCCCTCTCTGAATGGGAGATACTGAAACTGAAGGTCAAATTACCATTGAGTCATTCCACACCAACTCACCTAGCCCTCCCATGGGACTTGCAAAATCCTATTGCTCTACTCCAAGCACTTTTTAGCTATGAATTTTTACAGTTTGGCCCTTCTAATCATTTTTACAATTCTATGTTTGTGCACTCTAAGCCTTACTAATTGCTTATTTTTTGCTGGATTGGGCTGAAATTTGTACTGGACATCCCAGAAACCCTAAGGATAATTTGCAATGTGTATTCATGTAAATGGTTGTTGCTGAATGTTTCACAGTAGTCAAATTATACAAATAAAAAACTTTTAACCAAACAAAGAATCTTTCTTTAAAAAAATATATATTATCTCCACTGGTTTTCACTTCCGCGCAACCAGATTTGGACTTGGTGCAATATTAATTTAGTTCTATCACTTTTAGAAGTTATTTTGCACTGCCTAAATAATTGTGTGCCACAGATCTTGCTAAATATACCCACTTTAAGATATCTTGACTGCATACTTTCCCCAAAAAGGATTATTTGAATTTGCTTAAAACTTTTTTTTTCATTGAAAGGTGTTAATATTTATTGCAGAGATATCAAAAAGTCTATAGATGTTATATTACCCCTTGATCATTTACTAATTTACTGAAATATGTATGATTTCATACTTTTCATACTTTTTTTTTTTCAAGAAAATCCATGGCATGAACTGGGAGGGCTAGGTGAGTTGAAATCACTGATAAAATCTGACAAAAAAAACTCAATATTTTGTAGAGTTTGGCTCACTAAGGTACAAAAACGTGTTTTTTTGGTTTCGGGGGGAGCTTGCGCACATCTCCAAAACGAGGGGGGAGGCCTTCCCAGCTCGCAAGGTACCTAGAAACCTGATTGGCTGTTGTTCTTGAAGGGCGGGGTTTTCTCTGTAAATAGACGCCATGTTGAGCGTTATGAGCTTTCCCATTCAATTTCAACCAGTGACCGGTCTCCTCAGTTATAACAGCTCGTGGCTGTTACTGCAGCAAAGGGGGACAAACGTTGGACGTGCAGGTGTCTACAAACTTTTGGACGGCATATAGTTAGTTTAGTGTACCACAGTAACGGTCAGGTCCAGATATGCACCGTCACAGCACAATTATCTTTGAATATCCTTAAACAAATCAAGACAGATCTTGACTAACTGTTAGTAATTAGGCTATATTGGCTATATTCCTTTCTTTTGATACTCAGACAGTTAACAATATACAACAGGTCTGTTAGACCACCCTCGACAATTAGTGAAAACAATGCACTGCAAAGAAGCTCTGGGTAAATGGTTACTGATAAACACTACTTTTAGTAAGTAACAGATTGTGTAACAACATCTGACTTTCATGGAGAGGAATCAGTCGCGGTAAAGCTCTTTTCAAAGGGGAACACGGGAGTTAAACCCCCCAGAAAACCGCCTGCCTGAAACGTCAGAAAAGTTCATACCTCAACAAAGCAGCAGCTGTCAGGACATCGCTATCAAAGACACCGTGCTCTTCTACACCTTCTCAGCTATGTAACCGCCATGAAATGGCTGCGTTATACCGCCCCCTCCGGATAGGAGACAAACCGACAACCTGGCTCCTGTATGGTCGGGCTGCTCGATTCCTGAAATGTTGGAGTCGACTCTGATTCCAAATGATGGGAATCAGCTGAGACGATTCCAAGAGTCCACATAATTTTCTCGAGTCTCGATTCCAAAAAATCAAACAATAGGAAAGAAGGTCTGTCAAAAAATATAAAGTACAATATGAAGTATATAATACACTTTTGTTGATGGTATAAATAGCGAGCGATCTTATGTTAACTTCATGTGTTACCACCTCACTTGGAAACAAGATGTCAGTGAGGTGGTAACACATGAAGTTAACATAAGATCGCTCGTCATTTATACCATCAAAAATAGTATATTATATTGTACATAATATTTTGCCAGATCTTCTTTCCTGTGCTTTGATATTTGGAATAGCAAAGTAGTTTGGAAAGTTAGCTAAATTAACTTAGCTGACTGTCAAGTAAGGCTGAACAATTATCGTTTTATATTGAAATCGCAATTTGATAGAGTGCAGCTTTCAAATTGCAAGAGCTGCAATTTTCATTATATTATTTATTTATTTATATATATGTAACCTAATAACGCAAATCTTGTGACCCAGTTGTTTGGCACTTGGCATTCAGCGTTCAAGCTGCAAGTCAAAAAAAAATGGATGTGCTTGTTGACAAAAACAGGCCTGTGATCACTTGGAGAAAACATCTTAAGTTTTCCCTTTTATCTTAAGTATCTTAAGCTGCTTAAAATCCCTTCAGGGAAATGTTTAATTCAGAAGTGAAAAACAAAATCCATAAATGTAAATTGTTTTAGTCCCTAAGTTTAAGTTGGAGCACTTTAGTTTTACATTTAAATTTACAGCTTTATCTTTATCCCTTCAGCTTTACTTAAGATTAAAAAAATATTTATTATTAAATACAGTTTTATGCAAGTGAGTGTTTCAGCAGCAGCAAAGTTGATTTCTGTTACAAATCATACATTTTACTTTGTTTTCCACTTTGTTAATAGGAAAATACAATTAGTCTAGTTATGTATGGGTGGCCTGGAATTTAAGAATCGACTCTTTTTGGGACTCCTAGCCCTACTGCATAGAGTAAACGATAACTTTGGAGTTAATAATTACAAAAGGTCAGTTAATAGACCTACATAGTCTGCATCTAATGGTTTATTGAGTAACCTGTAAGTTAGGGGTGGGAATCTCTAGGCATCTCACGATTCGATTTGATTACGATTCAGAGGGCTGCGATGCGATAATAAAACGATTATCGATGCATCTCGATGCATCTTTTTTTTCTATATAGCATTTCTATTTTCTCACTGTGTGAGCTCAAGTTTCGAGTTCAAGTTTCAAGTTTATTTGTCATTTGCACAACATGTCAGGACATTTATGCATTGAAATGCTTGTGGTGAGGCTCAGCTAATCACTCTACAGAAAGAAAATAAGTAAAAATACAAGAAAAACCAACAGAAATATATTAAATATACACAAAATATACACAGAATATAGAGACAATATACATTTTAAAGTGACTAAGTAACTCTGTGTTGTTGTTATTTAAAGTGATTTGGTACTTTTAAAGCAAAGTATTTATAATGATCCATAATGAATTTACTTCCAATATCTTTTTTAATAAAACAAATAAAAGTAAGTGAACTAGAAGGCTCTCATTCAGTGCTCTTGTTTGGAGCACGAGAAGCTGCTGCTACTCATCTGCGATAAAATGCGCAGTTACGGTGAAATAAGATCCAGTGGTAATGGATGTTCACGCAGCACATGTTACAGCTATTCTACCCATTGTGACAGTAAAGTATCTTTGAGATGGGACGTGTGCAACATAGTGTGAAAGCCCTGTTTCGGAACGACTGAGAGACTTTTGCAGGTCAGAGAGACTTTTAACTGATCAACTTCTGAGGAAAAGTTTTCTGGAGGAGATGGGAGGAAAGCAGCTGTAGCTAAAGCTTAAAGCAGAGCGAAGTAAATCTGCATTTTCGTTTATATTGTTTAGCCTATACTAAGACATTAACACATACTGAGACATACTGGACATTAACTGTTGTGGCTCCCAAGGTGGTTTGATTTTTGTTGAAAGGTCAAAATGGCTCTTCTTAACTTTTCGGTTGTGTCTCCTGACCTAACCTGGCTTTTAATGCAGAGGGAGACGGTCGGATTTCTCGATCATCCATGTGTGTTTTTGTTATGTGCCGCCACAGACTGTCCGGGCGCTGCACTTCCGCACTTCCAAGTTCCGCCTTTTGTGTTCCGTCAACATTACGTTATAAATTAAATATTTAGAAAATCGATTTTTGACATTTGTGAATCGATTCAGAATCGTTCACGTCCGCATCGCAATGCATCTAAGAATCAATTTTTTCCCGCACCCCTACTGTAAGTTAATCACACTGAAACACTGAGTTTTAAGTGAAAATCCACATCAGGTGTAGTGATACTGATTGAGAAAATGTCTGTCCTGAGTAGCAGACTTTCCTAAAATGGCACTGTAAGCACCATAATCAACACAAAGCACAATTAGTTTAAACAGTGGAGGAGAAGTGAGTCACAGTGGGAGTTTAATCACAATGCTGGATCATGACTACCTCCTCAAGCTGTTCTCACAGCCCACCCTTGGCAGTCTCTGCTTCCAATCTGGCAACTCTATGAACATTTGCTTTATATTAAGGGAAAGAATGAAGTCAGGTGGAAGTGCACAATAAGACTGCACAGAGAGAAGAGTGAGATAATGGCATGACATGCTATTTTGGAATGTTCCCAAAATGGAAGCAATAATCTATGTAACATAATTGGTATTAGTTCAATTAGTGGTTAATTTTGAACTGAAAGTTTGTGCTTACTTGTCTGCAAAAACATAAGGAATGCAAAGCAATACAATAAGACCATTTAGCACAGCTTACAAAGACGCACTGTGATACAGTGTGAAAAAAAGAACTGCCAGTTAATGATTTAAGGCCAAAAATGCACCATGCCAATTAACTTTTGTCTCTGCATGTTTGCATAAGAAACACTAACTGTCATCGTTGTCTTTCTTTGTTGATGAAGGTAGATTAATATGAGAGCTTTTACAACTCAGAAGTGTATTCCCCATAACAAAACACTGAGCTGTACATAGCAACACAGTCCCACCGAGCTTAGTGAATGTTTTACTAAACCACAAATGTGGGTGAAAAACGCAATGTTGCGATAACAATGAAAGTCAGACCTCTTCTACCTGTTCTGCACTGAAAGGTCATGGGACACAGAACACTTAGTCTGAATATCTGTAAGTGCGTGACAGATTTACAGACTGTGCTGTGAGCTTTTTCTTTCTTGTTCAATTCTCTAGTGAATGAACTTGGCACAAACATATAAGACTTATCACCCTTTTCTCACAAAGCGTGATTTCATGGGTATGCAGTTGTGTACTTTCCCCTCGTGCAAACGTACTGGCATCTGTTCCCTGCGCACGCACACACATATGTAAAGAAACAGTAAACCTGTCCAACCACACACTGACGTACAAGCTGTGTCTTTTATTATTTCTGAAAGATAATAAATCTGAAAACATGCAGGGTGAAGGGCATGATCTCTGCATAGATGGCTAATAAGTCTCAGATTTTTTGGATTACAAAACATCGTGAGAACAGGGGAAAGTTAAAGAGAAAGTGCAACCAAATTAGGCAAGAAGCACATCATGATATGGGCGGTTCTTAACGTCAAACCTTAGAAACAGGTTACACAGTTCTCCGGGTGTGATAAGAAACTGCTTCAGAAAGCTCTGCAGTCTGGACGACTAGCAACGCACAGGATGATCAAATTCAAATTCTTACTGGTTTTGCTGATGGCTAAGGCTCTGGCAGAGGAGGACCCAGAGCCCATTTTCAGGTCAGTAGGAGGGGAACTAGAAATGGGTTATTGCTTTGGAGTGGACTACATCACATTGTACAAGCTAACCGAGAAGGGGAAGCAACTGCTGGGCAACTCCTCCAACGCAGCAGTCGCACCTCCTCAGGCTTATAGGGACCGAGTCAATCCTACCAACCAACTCCATGAGCTACTTGGTATGCAAGTTGTGAATCTCACGCTCTCTGACCCAGGTGTCTACTTGAGAGAGTGCTGGCGTGATAATGAACTTGTTAACCACCATAAACACTACTTGTATGTGTGTGATGAGGAGGCCAGTTCTCAGGAGATTTTCTTGGGATCAGATGGAGGTGTAGATCTGGTGTGCAACATCAGTTATTCCAAACAAAACAATGTCACTATCAAATGGTTCAAGGAGGAGTATGCTGGATACCAAATGTCTTTGCTTTTGGACACCAAGAGGTCCCAGGAGCCACTACAAGAGGAGCTGAAAGGTGTCCTCCAGGTGCGAGACGAAGGCTTTTCACTCCACATTTCGGAGGCTGGCCTGAAGAACGATCACCATTTCTTCTGCCTTGTCATGGAGGGTGAGCAGTGTAAGGGCTTTCAAAACATACACCTTCCAAACAGTGGTGAACATGAGGTGCAGTCTGTTTTTCATGGTGTGGGAGAGACGGCATTTCTGTCATGTTCCTCAGATTATTTGAAGCAAAGACAGGTTTACTGGGAAACACCTTTAGGAACAGTTAACTCAACAACAACAAACAAAAATGAAGGTTCAACCAGCAGTGACATGTACATATCAAAGAGTAAAGAGACAGGAGATTATTCACTGGTTATTCCCTTTATCACACTCACTCATTCTGGGGAGTACAAGTGTTACCCTAATATGATGGAATACTTCATTACGGTTTGCTCAGAGCTGAAGACAACTGAGATTCAAATACATACAGGAAGCAAAGTTACCCTGGAATGCGCTTTGACCACAGACGAGTCAGTCAGCATTCAGTGGTATCGGCAGACAGAACTTGAGGAAGACAACCTCATTTATGACTCAGGAGATCCTTCTGTAAGCACATATCCTAACATTCATGTTTTAAACACTTCTCTCACAATCGCTGAACTCACTGAGGAGGACAGTGGAATGTACTGGT